AATATGGGAGTCGTCAGTATATAGGTGGTGGAAACAGTGTTGAGTTGAATGAGGCAGATGATTGATACCGGTATTGAAAAGGAGAGGAGAAATTCTAAAACCCTGAGCCATGCCAAAGGAAAGGATAAGAAAGGAAGATATGGGTTAATTCGGGATGAAAACTGCTTGGGTTAGGGCGCTTAGAAAATATTGAAACAGAGAAATGGAGAAATCTGTTGTAGAAAGCTGGTGATTTTAGTTTATTAAAGAGAATAGAGAAGTCTAAGGAATTAAAAGTTTTGGAAAAGTCAAGGAGTATCATTAGAGTTAATTTTTTTCGTCCATGTATATCGTTTGTTATTTTGACTAGAACGGGTTGTGTAAAAACGAACTTGTATATCTTTGATTGGACTATTTCCACCAGAGGTTTGGACAGGTTAGAGAGGATAGAGATTGGACGGTTATTACTAACAGGAGTAAGGTGTTTGTTAATCCGTCACAATACAGTTGTTTTTTTTCCAGAAGATAGGAAATACTAATTTTTATTAGGAAACATTATGGACGAAAAGAAGAACTGGTAGGATTTTAGGGTAGCATTGTTATATTATAGTTTTAACAATTTAATGGATATTCCACATACTCGTAGAGTTGATCTGTGATTTTATTATGGAGAAAATATAAAAATTATTTCAGTTAAAGGAAGGAGCTGGAAGAGAAATAAATGCGGAGTAATATCAGGGGAGGAATGAATAAAGTATGAGTTCAGTTTATCCGGAGATACTGGGAAAAACAGATGATGAGATGGAGTTCAAAAAGGAGGTGCCATATTGATTTAGAATCAGAAGCAGAGGAAAGGGATTCAAGAAAGTAGTTGGATTTTGCTCGCCTATATTATGTGCTAAGTTGTGGAGTGGCCAGTACGCTTGATAATTATCTGCTAGCCTTGTCCATCTAAAGTGTGTAGGGACTGCCTCACCACTTTTTTGCTTATGTCTAATCTTTTGACATAGGAAAATGAGCTGGCTTAGGACCAGATCTATCAATATATATAACTTTTTTCAAAATGTATTTATTTTGTTTTTATTATATTTATTTGTTATTTAATTTATTAAATAATTGATGTATTGCAGAGAGGGAACAAAATGCACAGGATGAGTTCGAAGAGGAGAGCAACGAGGGATGGCTGGGTGAGCAGGGAGAGTTCCGCTACGCCAGGACACCGCCTGAAGGGCAGTTTCCTTCCCAGAACGCAGGAACGGTCAAGTTCGAAGCCCCCAAGGTTCCTGTCGTCTTTGTTCTTGGTCAGTATGAAATAAAAATCCTTGTCATCAAAACATTTTTTATTAAATAGTTATTTAATTCGAACGAAGTATCAACAATTGTCAGAAAAAATAATTATTGGTTTATTATTACTTTCACTTACGTATATTTTTTTATATATATATTTTATTTGGGGTCCTTCCCTTCCTCGTCTTTGACGCTATACGCGGTTTTCCCGGGCCAGGGGCTGTGGGGGAGGGGGATTTAAAAGACTCCCCCGGCACCGACCGACGCGAACTCGTGATTATTATAAATTCATTGACTCATAGATCAGGTTGCCGAGCAACGGTGGTGCTGTGCACTCACGTTAACCCGTTCGGCCACCCCGCCCACTTTACTTACCTATATTATTTTATTTTATTTTTCTCCCTACCCTGCCTTTAAGACAATACGGGAGTTTGCAGCAGTGACTCGATACACATAACAAATCACTGTTGTAAGTTTATCTTTTTAATTGCTATTTTTAAATTGCTGTGCACACAGCCAGCTTCATAATTTTGTCTCTTATTTTATCGTCCTCCATCTTATTCTCCTGTCCTAATCAGCGGCCTTCCAGGTACTGCTTCTTCACGCCTTACCAGGGAGAAGTGGGTTGGGCCCACAGTTTTTTTCCACCCGCATACAAAACTTTTAAAGTGTGGGTAGTTTTGTTCAGACATCAGTTGGGGTAATTGTCTTTCTGTTAGAACGAAAAGCCCTGTATCCCTCATCAATTCAGGGATGTGCCTCATCAGGCCAGGGATCAGCCTCATCAGGCTACAAGGATGTGCTCAGCTGTTTCAGGTGCTCCACAGGTGGATCATAAGGGATCGATATTTTTACCGTGCTTAAAAAGTTTCGCTCTGAAACCCACATGCCCCGTGAGGATCTGTGAGACCCAATAGTCCGGAGGACCGATTTCTTTTCTAAGCGCGATTTAATGGTGGGAAATAATTTTCTTAGTGTGGACACGTTTGGAGTTGTCATCGCCGATTCCATTGTTCCAATGTATCCTCCCGGAGGATCATCTTCCATCTTTTGGGGTCATCACAAATCCTCTCCCGAATTTTGCTGGTAAATCCGCCAAGCCATCCCTCTTAATGTAGTACCGATAAAGGTCTTCCCGCAGGAGGAGGTTGAGAGGAATACCTCCTCCTAAGACCTGCACCGCCTCATGGGACACAGGTCTGTATGACCTGGTTACTCTAAGCAAGATTCCGGTTCCATGCGGTGGACACGTATCTAAGGATACCAACAACTACTCCTTTATAAATGGACATAGTTGCTGGACATCTGAGGCCCCAAAAGGCTCCCCCTATGTGACTGAGACCATTAAGGGCTAAGGTCATCCTATTTCTTAAACAATCCAAGTGAGGCGTCACGTTGAATTTTTTCCCAATCCTAATTCCAAGATAGGTGACCACCTCACTTGGACATATTCTTGAATCTTGTATCACCAAGGTTATGGGGTGTGCCCTATCGGTCCTACCTCTCAAGAGGATGGCCTGTGCCTTGGAACCCGCCATCCTTAACTTCTTCCTCTCGCACCATTCTTCTACAAGGTTGGCACAACGTTCAGCTTCATATTTTAATCTGGCCCTGCTATTCGAGGCCACTACAACAACCAGGCCATCTACATATGCAGTGGCGGGGAACCGCTCCTGTTCTAGCACTCCCAGCAACTAGGGCACGGCCAAGGACAGAGCCCTGTGGACAACCCCTTTCCACTGTATCTTCTACTTCATAGAAGCTACCTTTAATCTTCAATGTCCTATCGTGGAGATAGCTTCTGATCAAGCCATACAAGTTGCTGGGAGCTGCATACCTTTGCAACTGCTGGAGTATGCTCGGCCACCAGACGCTATTGAAGGCGGATGATATGTCAAACAGGAGGAGCATAACATACTTCTCCGCCTTCTCTTCGACATCACGGCGCACTCTCAGCAGGGCATCTGCGGTTCCCCTGCCTTTAGAGGATCCGTAGTGCCGTGGATGGCTCGCCCTCGAGAAGACTGGCCGTAGGCTGGTGAGTATCAGGTTTTCTAACACCTTGCTCATGACTGGGAGGTGACATATAGGCCTATAAGATTTGGTTAAATGCTTATCTCTGTCTCCTCCTTTTTAAATGAGCTTGACGTTAGCGATTTTCCAGATTCTTGGGAAGTATTCTCTGTTTAGGCAATCATTATAAATAGCCAGCAATATTTCTTCTATATAGGGAATACTGTTCTTGAAAATTGACGCGTCAATGGTGTCTAAACCAGAGGCACTACCAGTCTTTTGCTTGTCCACGGCAGTGCGAAGATCCCATATGTCCCATGGTGGGCACAGGTCCGTGCCGGGATGGTATACCGTAGTGTGTCTTACGAACTCCTCCTCTTCATTATCTTGGGATGGATCATCCCTGGGGTATGTCTCTGTGATAAACATCTTCGCCGATTCTTCTTGAGTTTTTGCCTGAGTACCGTCATACTTTATCACGGCGATTACTTGCATTATAGTCAATTTACCCAAGGCTACTTTGTACGGGATACCCCAGGGGTTTTTAGATGATTCCTCAACGATGAATTCATCCCAAGACTTACGTTTATGTAGACGCACCTCGTTTCGGTATACTCTGGCTTTAGACCTGTACTCGTCACGAAGAGTAGTGCGCCTCTCATAGCAACTACACCGCTGGTACAAACGCCGGGCCTTGTAGAGCTCTCTCTTCATGGTGGTTAAAGCCAGCGTCCACCATGGGATACTTACTTATATTTGTAATATAGTATGTAAGTATTACGATCGTGAAAATTTTCGAATCTGAGTTTTCAACGGAAATACACGTTTTGATTTACCCTGAGTCCAAATAATCAAATAAAGTCCCGCAAAAGTCTGTGTGCCTGTGTGTGTGTATGTTAACAGTCTAGCTCAATATCCCAAAGTCGTACGAAACTGATATTACATATTTAAGATAGGTGTATTCCTTAGATGTGACTGCAATTTTTTCCTTAAATCGACTAACCGGAACTTTAAATCAACGGTGAAACACATTTTTACAATTTTCTCAAAAACAGCTGTAAAGATTTTGATTGAACTCGGTGCGTCATTGTATAATTAATTGGTCTTTATTATCAATCGTCATTTATCTTTTTACAAAATTAAATATGTGAATAATTTGATGAAGTTTTTCTTTGTGAATTCCCAAGATTCTCTAAAGCACCTTTAATTTGGTTTATTATAGATATTAACTATTTCTTATTTTTAGGAGTTATAAAAAAATACTAAATATAACTTTTAAAAGAAATGTGATAATTGAATAAAGGAGAATTAAGAAAAATACTTATCCAGGCCGAAAATGAATATTCGGAAATAATAGTCAGAAGGTATAATATATCATTGGAATGCGAGGAATTAAAAAAACAATATCTAATATAGAAAGTTGTAGAAGGTAACGGGGACTGGCGAAAAAAATATAAATAATATTTTCTAAAAACTAACATTATTTAACGTAAATCATATGTTTTCATGGAAATTAAATGAAATTTTCTTACTAAATGTAAACTTTTAAAAGTTTTATATGGGTGCTATTAATTTGATAAGAAGGAGTGGCGAACTTACAAAAAATAATTAATTATAAGAAATAATAATAAGATATTTTTATTGGATTTGTATATTACAAAGATACTTAACAGATATTACTTTTTTTAGGAAAATATATTGTGTATACATGTAATTTTATAATACAATTGAAAAATCTGAATAACTTTAATTTTGAATAATAACGCCCATAATTTTAGGTGGCCCAGGTAGTGGAAAGGTGACACACTGTGATACCTTTATGGAAGAAAAGAGAGGAATCATCCATATCAATATGACAGACATCTTACAGCAGTACACTGTCGGTGAGCAAACATTTATTTTATTTTTATTTAAATTATTACGAAAGTTAATATTATTATTTTCCTACCTTTACTAGTTAAGGAAAGTATTGGGATCGGTTTAAATTTCCGATGTGCGGTTTTCGACGGATTTATTATATTTTCAGCCGTTGGTCTGTCTGTCTATGCTCAGATTATGTCGGGAACTATTGGACCGATTTTGTTGCTTCTTTTTTTATTTTGTAGAGTTTCGCCTATTGGTGTTTTTGACACAAATTGGGTTCTTCTTGCACAATAGTGGCTGCACAATGAGTGAAAAGCATATTTTTCAATAGACTGTAGCCCTAAAAGGGCTCTAACAATTTTGAAGAAACTTTCCTATAATTTTCTAATAACCGTTTTGTGGCCTAACTCGCTAAGTATATATCCTATGGTAAAATTTATATGAAAACTTTTAAAATGTAATGAAAATACTTACAAAACTATATAAAAATCGGACAACTATTAACGAAGCTACAGCTATTCAATTTCGTATGTAAGATTACGGATTTATATTATGGTGTCAGAAAGGGGTGAATGAATGAGAGAAAAAAGAAAACTAAGTGAAAGTAAGATAATCTGTTGTCCGCATCACACAAGCTTCACTATTTTCTCTACTTTTAACAAAAATTATCGTCTGAAAAAATTAAGCTATGGCAAAATGTTTTTGATTAGTAATATGAGAGGGTATTAAATTTTTTAGACTGATCATCCTCAAGGCGGTTTATATTGCTTTAATTTATCAAACAAAATCGCACTCAAATCTTTTCTTTGATCAATTCTCAGGAAAATAAATCTAATCCATTTTTTTTCTTAATGGACATGTTTAAAGATATGAACACTTTTCTGAAATAGGTAGGAAAGTCGTGCGAGTGGACACACCAGATTTTGATAATTGCAAAGTTTATTATAATTTTGATCGATAGTACGAATCCCTCCCTTCCATAATTAAAACAATTCTAACCTGATCCTTTCCTCTAGTGCTCCTTCCTGTAGTTGATAGCCAGGAAATATTTAAAATTGAAGGGCAGTCTAATATTTAGAGGAGAAAGTGGTAGCGTTAAGAATTTACTATATTCGATTACGACCGACCACTGATGTTTTATTCGCCAGGTCTTTCACCTCGGGACTGCGGAGCAAACAATGATAAAAATCTTGACTCCCTCTAATTTGGGAATGTCGCAGATTAGCTTTCATGTTTTAGAACAATCTATAATGTAGGCTACGAACAGCCGGAACTCTGGTAGTAATATCAATGGTGCAAAAATCGATTTTTTCATACCTTATCTTTAATAGGTTTGCTACGAACGAAGAACATCCTACGTGCCCTTGTGCATAAGTTGGATAGTTTCATTCTTATTAAAGAATTACCAATTTCAAATTTTTCTATAAATAAATTTCCATAACACTCTACCAAGGTGTTTAAACAATTTAATCGGTTTAATTATTTATTTCAATTAAGTAGTCTATATATTTATCTCAATTATTGTACTTCAGTCGGTTTATTCTCTCGATTAATTAATTTTAATTTTAACATGTTAAATCTTGTAAGTATTGACAAATTTTATTCAACACATAGGATCACGGACTTTTGTACATAACATAATATGAAATCACTAAAAATTTGAAAAACTTAAAATATAATAAAATATTTCGATCACAGATAGTTTTAAAACATTAACGAGATCTCACTGATTATTTTAAGACATCGACCTAGATTTTCGCACAAAAAATCGTTACATATCTTTTGTTCAATTGATTAAACACGTCTTATACAATGATACGTTCGTGTTTTGAGCCCAAATTATTTCAAAACATTCACGGAATCTCATTAACTAATTTAAGCCGTCAAAAACAATAGGTTTCAGCCGTACGCATAAAAAATCGATAGATACCTTTTAGCAGCAAAACAAACACATAACCCTTCGTGTGTCTTCTCCATTATCGCTTAATAAAAATATCGACGGTCTGTTTAATCATTAGTAAATTAAGTATTCAATTTGTAGTCTAGTTGATTATTAAAAACAAATGTTGCTTTTAGGTCAACCTTCTACGTTAATATTTTCTGAGTTAGTGAACGATAATCTCTCTCTTGTACTAAGAGAACTACTTGAAAAGTAATTATTTTATCATTAACTAGAAATATACTAACTGCTCTAGGGTGATAGTTTTTGCTTCCTTTCTATGAGACAGAGTTATTCGTGTTTTGAGAATCTTGATACATATTTGGTTGTGAATCATTAAGATTAAAAGATATTTTTTTTTTAAATCCATCAAACACTTGACTTTGACTTTATAGGAGTTTTATCTAAGGGTTAGCTCACATAGTCAGCGCAGAGCTCCACGCGCTTCTATCTCGCCAATAATCGTCCTCTAGACCACGACCTGCCATTTCCTCCTGGACCCTCTCCATCCACCGTCCAAGTCCTCTCTTCCCTGACGGAACCCAATCCAGGACTCGGCTCGGCCAACATTTCTCCGTCATTCTTCACACATGCCCATACCATCTTAGGCAGCGTGCCCCGATCTTCCATTAACTGCTGTACCCACATCCATTCTCAGTCGAACTACCTCATTCTTAATTTTATCCAGTCTGGTAAGACGGAGACACCTTCTCCAGTAATCCATCTCGACCGCCTGCACCTTTGAGTACAAACGGGAGTTCATGGTCCACGTTTCTGAGTCATATGTAAGAGTACCTTCCACTATTGCTGTGAATATTCTTGTGGAATATATATATTCCAATATATATACAATACAAATATATTGTTCTCGGTGGAAAGCTGTGTTTCCAGAGAACTGGATGAGAACTGGATTCATAAAATTACGATTTATGAATTTCTTTCTATTCGTAAGAATTTAAGATTCCAAGTGCACTCTTAGAACATTATGAAATTTGAGTAATGACATTGTTTCATCTAATGAGGTATTTATAAAAATATACAATTCGCAATACTTACAATTTTTTTTTTTTATATCCTACAATCTTTATTCGTACCTGTTCAAAGCAATATGACATCCAGATAAATTGACGATTTCGATTTCTGATAGAATCCACCACATGAAAGGCATGACGGGGTGCAGTAACCAGCGGCATCTCCTCCTGGCGTGATATCTACGTTAGTCGAGGCGGTCCCTCATCCAGCTCTTCTTCAACTTTCTACAGAAATTACTAGGCATGTGTGTTATGACCATGTTATTTATGAGTATGTTGGGATTTAATTGTAATTTCCCATGGAATCTTTTGTAATTGATTCGTAAGTGTACGTTGACAGTCTGCGTATGAATGTTAGTGTTGTTAGGTTGTCTTAAACTATCCAAGGTAGTTTTGAAGTTGTCCTGAATGTTTTTTCTTGAAAGATTGCAAGTTTGTTTAGGTGTTTCATAGTAGATGTTCCAAATATCTATGATGGGTAAGTCCAAATAGCTTTTAGTAAGTAATTGTATGTGTTCAAATTCTGTATAAGTTTTAGTTTTGAATGTTTTCTGAGAAGTGAATTAAGAAGTCTCAGTCTCTGATTCAGAGTTTTTCTTTTCTTTTTTTTTCGTAGGCTCCATGTTATTTTTCGGTCCAAAGTCAGTCCATGATAGTGAACGGTGTCTGTGGAATCTGTGCCGAATGATACTAAAATATAAAAGCTATCTAAAAGGAGTTGAATGAACCGGTCTCAAATCTAGGAATTGTAGAAACCTTTTTAATGAAAATTGGTTCCTTCTTTACTTGCAAGGGAAGGTGAGAGTCAGCGGATGACCTATTTCAATTATATTTTGTTTGGTAATTGAACATCTAACAAAACGAAATTGAACAAAACGAAAAATATTTTGGCAAATATCCCGTCAAAGTTTTTCTTAATTTCCAGCTTATTTATGATGAAATATATAAGTTATTCGTATGGATTGGAAAAGGGCTGTATTAAAGTTTGATTTAGAAAAAATCCTGAGAAGTTAATGAATACTTTAGCAAATGCCGAGAAAAAAGTCCTCTATGAAAATTACGTGCTAATATTTGTATTCTTAATCTCTATGTAAATTCGTAATTATGAGTTTTAAATAACAGTAAAAACGAATCTAACTTTCTTTTTCATTACAAAAATTTATTTGGACTATTTTACTGGATCCTCATGATTTTTATAATTTATGACATTTCCATGTACTTTTCCTCCAACATGTTTGTAAATATTGCATATAAGAATGTATTTACATTGTTATTTTAATTAAGTTTAAGTTTCTGTTTGTTTTTGAAGTGAAAACTTCTTTAGGCGCGTTATGCACTTTTTTGTGGAGAGTGAATTGATCCGTCAGATATCCGAAGTTTTAGCGCTCGGTTAAAGTCGGCTAGAATCGACTAATTGAAATTTATTTACATATGGATTAAAATATCTCAGAAACTAAAAAACGGCCCTTCATATTGTAAGCGACGAAATTGTTCAACATTTTATTCTCTTTTGAATATGTTATAATTCAAAATTGTATCTTAACCCACCGTCGTGTTAAAGAGAGGCGAAAAGAAAATAACAGTGCCGAAAACAAAATGATAACGAGCTTAGTTGGATATATGGATTAAAATATTTCCGATACTAAAAATCGGACCTGTACACTCCAAACGAAGGACATCTTCATCATTTCATCTTCTTTGTAATGAGCTATTATTAAAAATTGTATCTTAACCAAACACAGTTTTAGAGAGTAGGAGAGGGGAAAATATAGTGTCCAAAACCAAATGTTAACGATTTTCTGCTAATATATAGCACAAATGCTAATATTATTGAGCATTGAAATTTTACTTTTACAACATCATTGATAATTTATAAAAAATAAAAAGAGAAATAATACAAATGATATTAACAGCAGAAATCCTAAGGTATAATGGAAATTATGTAATAATATAACATTACATAATCTTCCTCAAAAAAAATAAAATAAAAAAAATAGTGTCGAAAACTAAATTACAACGATATTTATGAAAGATATGGAATAAAATATCT